AAAATAATATTAAAAAGTTTAGTAAGCTAAGAAATTCATTCATCTCCTAAGCATTTCCACATCTTTATTGGAATATCCTCATGTCCAACAGCTTTTCCACCCTTCATTTTCAAACCTCCTAAGTATAATTTTAATACAAACTTAAAAAATATTAGGTTAAAAAATTTTATAATATTATTTTATATTTTGAAAATTTTATCCACGTGCATTAATTTCTAATACAACTAATAGTCTAATAGCCAACAAGCTCAACAGCTCAAGATCAGCTAATTTACACGCCTAAATTATTTAGAACAACTACGATGCGGTGGCTGCGTCAATAGATGCGCACATGCTTAATGACAAAATGTCCCTTACCAACCTGTCAAAGTCAAACATAGAATCCCCGCCTTCTCCCACGCTCCTCCCAATCTCGGCCGCCATTTCCGCAGCCACTCGCCGGAACTCCTCCGCCTTCTTCCCCTCCATCACCGCCCTCACCATACTCTCCACTATCTCCCTCCTACACACATCCTTCATATCCAAACCCACCTTCCACACCTCCCCAACTAACCTACTATTAACCAACTGATCCCACGCCCGCGGCCAACACACCATAGGCACCCCTGCGGCCGCACTCTCCACCGTCGAATTCCACCCGCTGTGAGTAATGAAGCACCCCACCGCACGGTGCCGCAGCACCTCCTCCTGTGGCGCCCACGCCACCAATCTCACTCTCTCCTCCGACTCCACCATCTCGGCCGCCGACGTTCCACCGGCTACCAAGTCAGGCCTCACCACCCACAAGAAGCGGTGGCCGCTGTTGACGAACCCGTGCCAGAACTCCAGAAACTCTTCCTGCGTCAGCTGGACTAGGCTGCCGAAGCTCACATAGACAACGGAGTGGTCGGGCTGGGCATCCAACCAGATGAGGGCAGAGCGGTCCTCGGACAAGAGACTGGCAGAGACAGAGGACGAGGTGATCGATTCGACGAGGGCGTGGAGGGGGCCGACGGCATAGGTGGTGGGGAAGAGAGAGCGGATTTGAGAAATGATGGGAGCTTCGAGGGAGTTTGACGTGTTGAGGATTAGTCCTTTCGATTGTGTAGCGCTGGTGGAGATGTTTGCAAATAAGTGAAGCATTTCATCTTCGGCTTTTGTTGCTTGTCGACAGATGCTTGGGAGGTCTCGACGCCGGAGAAAGCCTTCCATGGCCGGCACGCTCTTTATGGGTTCATCAAGGTCTGCATCCACTGCAATTTTTGTTCAATCGTTAGCTTATACTTCACAGCACAGGATTATCGAGATGGGTTTAATGCTTCAAACAGAACCCAAATACTGGATTTTTTTTAATGAATTTTGG